TTATGTTTCTTTTTCTTAGAGGGGGTCAAGCTTAAGAGAATTTGGTTTTCTATTAACAAAAAAAAGGATTTGATAGAAAGATTGACGCTTGCGCTGATCTTATTATTGCGTCATTAAATCATAACGCTTTAGAGTCTATGATCATATAATACAATTAATTATAAAACGATAAATTTTTTGGAGTAAAAAAAAAGATTTATAGAGAGGGATAGGTGCCTAAATAACAAAGAATTTAAAAAGTTTGATCAAAGATCAAACAATTAAATACTCCGAAATCAATAAATATAAATAAGAGCCATGTCTTTAACGGTAATAGAGAAAATGAAAGTAAAAATATAAGCTTGTAAATAAGCAATAAGAATTTCCTAAACTAAGAACATAGTTAAAAGGAATAAAGGTAAAGTTAAAACAATAATAGAAGTACCACTTATTAAAGCAGAATAAATAAATCCAATAATAACTTTAACTAATACATGACCGGTAATCATATTAATAGCAAGACGTAGTCCTAAACTAAGAGTACGTGTTAAATAAGCTAAAACTTCCTAAGCGAACATAGGTAAAATTAAAGCAAGAGGGGTACCAGAAGGTACAAAAGCAGCAATTAAAAATTGACGATGAGTAAGAAAACCTAAAATTAAAACACCACCTAATAATGTTAAAGCTAAAGATAAAACCATAACAATTTCAACGGTAGGAGTAGTACTATAAGGTACTAATCCAATTAAATTACTAAATAAAACTAAATGGAAAATAGTATAAATTAAAGGGAAATAAATTGTATATTTAGGTCCAATATAATTTTCAACCATTAATAAAATAGTTCTATATAAAGATTCACTTAATATACCCCACCAATTAGCAACTAAATTACCTTTATTAGTACCAACATATAAAATAATAGGTGATAAAGAAGCAGCAATTAAAAAATAAAGAAGAACATTATTTAAAATAAAATTAAGACTTAAAATAGGATAAATATCATATTGTTCTAAAGGAGATGAAAGAAATACCATAAAATAATAAAGAATCTAAATTTCAAAATAGAAAATAATAAAGGAATCGCCTAAGGCGGTTTTATCCAATTGTCTTTTTAAAAGACATTTGTGGCATTAAATTTAGACTCAATATTATATAAATAACATTTTAATACGAGCTAATTGAATACGGAGAATTGTAGGAAAACTAATAGTTGTATGATACCAAGTAGTAAAACTTAAAATAGCAAAAGCCCAAGAAATTAAAGTAATCCACCAATAAGGTTTAAATTGAGGCATAAAATATAATATATACTAAATTTCAAAAAAAGGGTATTTAAATAAGCCGACGTTTTATGGCCCCAAAAAAAAATAATTAAAGCGCAATACCACGCATTTAATCTTCTAAGATAAAATTTAAAGAATAATGGTCGACGGAAAGTCGACCGGTCGGTTATGGAACAGACCTAATTTTAACCAACTAAATCAAAAGTATATATAAAAGCGGGTAATAACATAATATAACCAATGACAAATGGTAAAATGTTAGACCAACCTAATTTTAATAATTGATCAAAACGTAATCTAGCTAAAGTGGCACGAATCCATAACATAAAAAAAATCATGGGTAAAGCCATACTAACACCAAAAAATAAGACATGAAATAATGTACAAATAACTAAAATGGATGTATATTCACCTAAAAAGAAATAAGCAAAACTAACTGCAGAATGTTCAGTAAAAAATCCACCAACTAATTCACTTTCAGCTTCAGGTAAATCAAATGGAGCTCTATTTGTTTCAGCAACAGCAGAAATCATAAATAAAATAGCCATTGGAAATAAAGCAAAAAAAGTAGCTATTGGACGTTGTGCAGAAAGAATTTCTAATAAATTAACTGTACCTAAAGATAATACAACGGTTAAAATAATTAAACTTAAACTTACAGAATAACTTATCATTTGTGCAGTAGAACGTAAAGATCCTAAAAATGGATATTTAGAATTAGCAGACCATCCTGAAAATAAGACAGAATAAATATTTAATTCTGAAATAGCTATTAAAATTAATATTCCACCCCCTATTAATTCAGATATTGCTAATCCTTGATCTAAAGGTAATACTAACCAATTTAATAAAGCTAAATAAAACCCTATAAAAGGTGCACCTAAGAAAATCCAAATACTAGAATGTAATGGTAAAACAGTTTCTTTTAAAATTAATTTAATACCATCTGCAAAAGGTTGTAAAATCCCTAAATAACCTACTTTATTTGGGCCTATTCTTCTTTGCATTGCACCCATAGTTTTTCTATCGGCAAGTGTCATTAAAGCAACAGATAAAATAACACCTAAAACCTATATTAAACAAGCTATCATAAAAAAAAAAGATATCTAAATTTCAATTTGAATTCAAACAGTGGATTGTGCGAGACATTAATAAGATACTATGGGGGATCCCAATAGGATCCCTAATTAAATCAATTAGCTAATTTTAACCCTAAATCATTAAAATAAAGAAATATGAGAAATAAATGACAGTACAAATTTGTCCTAACATAATATATGGTTCATGAATTGGTTTTCCACCTAACCACATTAAAAAGAAGAAGTTAAAAACAAAAACCCAGAATAAAATTTGTAAAATTGGACGATAACGATTAGAACGTAAATTATAAGTATTGAAATAAGCTAATGGAAATAAAATAACTAATGCACCAAACATAGCTATTACACCTCCAAGTTTACTTGGAATAGCACGTAATACAGCATAAAATGGAAGAAAATACCATTCTGGAACAATAGAATGAGGAGTAACCATAGGATTAGCAGGAATAAAATTATCAGGATGACCCATCTAATTTGGATAAAAGAAAACAAAAATAGATAATAAAATTACCATTAAGAAAATAGTAATTAAATCTTTAGATGTATAATAAGGATGAAAACGTATACGATCACTTGTACTTGAAATACCTTCTGGATTATTTGAAGCATCTTGATGTAAAGCTAATAAATGCATACATACTAAAGCAGCTAAAATAAAAGGTAATAAAAAATGTAAAGAGAAAAAACGATTTAAAGTTGCATTATCTACACTAAATCCACCCCAAACAAGACGTACTAAATCATTACCAATCCAAGGAATAGCAGAAAGTAAATTAGTAATTACGGTAGCTCCCCAAAAAGACATTTGTCCCCATGGTAAAACATAACCAATAAAAGCTGTAGCCATCATTAAAATAAAAATAACTACACCAATACTCCAAAGTAAACCTCTTGGTGAACGATAAGAACCAAAATATAAACCACGACCAATATGTAAATAAACCCAAATAAAGAAGAAAGAAGCACCGTTAGCATGAATATAACGGAGTAACCATCCATTATTTACATCACGCATAATATGTTCTACACTTGCAAATGCTAATAATGTAGAAGCATTATAATGCATTGCCTAACAAACACCTGTTACAATCATAATAATCTAATTTATACCTAATAAAGATCCGAAATTCCAAAAATAATTAAGATTAGAAGGAGCTGGAGAATCTATTAAATATTCATTAAGAAGACCTAAAATAGGATTACGTTTAGTAATTTTCATAAAAAATAAAAAAAAATTTTTGTTTATACAAAATAAATAGCAAATATTAATGCTTTAGTTTAATAATCAACTTTAATTATACTTGGCCATACTTCTTAAAGGTAGACCCTTTGGGCTGACATTTGAAAAAGTCTAAATTAGTTGGCCCACGTAAATTATACCGCTCGATTTTAGGATCGGACGACCAACGTAAAGTAGGCTGCTCCTCGGGCATAAAATTTTAACTCAGACCTTGACAAAAGTGCACCATTTTTCCGTCAACGCTTCCATCTATCTCCCTTAGAGGGGTGAGAAGAATGTGACTGGAAAATTAAGTTGATAATAAACATGATTTAATCTTTTTGTTTTTATCCTCACCGTCTACATAAAGTAGGCCTCCCTACGGGCAATTTATTTAAATTTTGCCTTACTTATAAAAGGCTACGGGTGAGTGATAAAATTTATTTAAATAGTACCGGGTTCATTATATATGTACCGCACGGTTATGGGGCTGAACCTTATAAGATGATTATAACACAAACCAAATATTTTATGGTTATCATTTAAATCCCCCATAATGGATCAGCCCCTCTCTCAATCGATAAATCGAAAAGTGTAAAAACACTCCATTGTTAATCAATTGAAGATCCGGGTCTATTAATAAATATTTAAACATTATTCAATAATTTATATACTCAGTGTCTTAATAAAAACCATTTTATATGGATATAAAGCTTCAGATAAGAATTGAGCAGTTTAAAGTACCAAATTGCACTTATATTAAGCGCTTGGACTTCAAAGATAGGAAAACTAACGATTTATTCCTTTGGACGTTTTAATAGATTCAGCCCTCATCCACATTCCTATTTAGACCTAAGATCTGATAAGGAATGGGACAGATGGCGGAATCGATCGTTTGATCAAGGATCAAACGATTAATTAATAAATAATAACTAGTTAGATAAAGATAATAAATTTAAAGGGTAAAATAAAAATAAAACAGTAAAGGCGATAATTATAGAAATGTAATAACTAATTTCTTTAGATACTGTAAAAGTATTATATTGGTTAGGTAAATTCACATTTATAATTTTTATTAAATTTAAATAATTTACACTACTAATAATACTACCTACTATTGCAAATAAAGCTAATGAAATATATCCTAAATTAATAGTACTTGCTAAAACCATTAATTTAGCAAAAAAACCAGCCATTGGTGGGATACCCATTAAAGAAAATAAAAGAAAAGTAAAAGATAAGCCTAAATAAGCATTTTGATGATAAAGACCTGATAATTGTAAAATCATTTCTGGATTATTTTCTATAGATAGTAAAATCATAAAAATACCAATAGTTGTTAAAGCATAGATTATTAAATAATAAACATAATAATCTAATTGATTAGTACCCTAAGCCAATAATAAAAAACCAATATTTGTAATTGCACTATAAGCTAAGAATCTTTTTATACGCCATTGATTACTTAATCCTAAGGATCCAACTAGAATTGATAAATTACCTATAAATAAGATAAAGAAATTCATAGGAGTTAAAAAATAAGAAAATAAAGATAAAAATAACTAAATACCATATTTTGGTATTGTTGCCATCCAAGATGTTAATACAGTTGGAATTGCATCTAAAAGATCTGGTGACCAATTATGAAACGGTGCAGCAGCTATTTTAAAAAAAATTGTTATCTACATAAAAAATAAAGGCTATTTAATATCATTTTCTATAAATATCCATAATAATCCCATATTATCCCAATGTATTGTACCAGTAATTGCATAAATAAGGGTAATAAATAATAATAAAAAAGTAGTTGTTAAAGCACTTAATAAGAAATATTTTATTGAAGCTGATAAAGCTTTTTCAGATCCATTTTTCATACTAACAATAAGATATAAAGTAATATTAATTAATTCATAATTAATTATAGTTAATAACCAATCATAACTTTCAATTAAATTTATAATCGCAATAACATTTGTGAATATTATCATAAAAGTTTCGCTAGATTTTAAATAATATGTATAAACTTGGAATAATAATAATGTTAAACTTATTAATAACATTTCATAAAATAATATATTTGTATTTAATCTATGTACACCATCTAAAAATAATATTTCATTTTGAATATAATTAATATTTATTGCAATATTAATTAGTTGTAAAACTAGGAATAAACTAGCTAATCTTATTAATAATGGAGTTACATTTCTAGATTGAGGCTATACTAAATATAAAGCATATATATATCCTAATAAGCCTAAAACTAATAACATAAATTTTTGTGTGTTTTTTTTTTTGCTTCATTTGTTAATTAATTGTGATTAGGGTTTATTTGATCCGCCTAAGGCGGATCCATCCTTCTTTCCAAGGAATAACTCGTCAATGACCGTTATTCATTGAAGGAGAAGGGCCTAACTAAAAATTAATATATTTAAATTTATATATTTATATATTTTGTTTTGATATATTTGGGCCGCGTGCATACCCTTATCTTCAATAAACACACGATTGAGTCTAAAGACTCTTTAGTGTGTCTATTGAGACAAGGTTGGATCCACTAGGATGGATATACCCGGCAAAATTCGTCCCAGATTAATTTCACATCAGACCTTTTGGTCTAACGTAAAAACATGGTCGAGTCATGATATATAACTAAAACAAAAACAAATTTTAATGGCAAATTTTTTATATACTGGAGCTTCTTTTGAAGCATAAAAATTTTAATTTTCTATTGCCATATCATTACCCCTTGAGGGGGTAATGAAAGCGCATATAGGAAATTATGAACCTTTAGTGCATTGCAATGAATGTGCGATTAATATAAAACATTCATACTATTAAATTGTATGGATTCTAATATAATTGCAGGATAAATACCAAAAAATAATAAAAAGAATAATAATGGAAATAACATATGAAATTCTTTACGAGTCATATCTTGATAAAGACAACTCTAATATGTGGAAATTGTACCATAAAGCATTTTATGCATAACCCATAACATAAAAGATGGTGTTAAAATAATAGCTAAAGTGGCAAAAAAAGCAATAAATAAATTATTTTGAAATAATCCAATAAAAATTAAGAATTCTGAAACAAATCCACTAGTACCAGGTACTGCTATATTTGCTAAAGAAAAGACTAAGAAAAATAAAGTAAATATAGGCATAAACATTACAATTCCTCTATAATAACGAATAGTACGAGTATGATAACGATCATAAAGAACTCCAACTAATAAAAAAAGACCCGCACTAATAATACCATGAGATAATAAAAAATAAATACCACCATTTATAGCTTGTTGGTTTTGAGTAAATAACCCTAAAGTTGCTAAATTCATATGTCCTACAGAACTATAAGCAATAATTTTTTTAATATCCCATTGAGCCTAACAAACAATACTTGCATAAATAATACCTAATAAACAAAGACAAAATAAAAAATTTTGATAAGTAATACTTGCAATATTAAAAATTGGTAAAGAATAACGTAAAAAACCATAAGACCCCTATTTTAATAAAATAGCTGCTAATATAACGGAGGCTGCAGTTGGAGCTTCAACATGAGCTTCAGGTAACCAAATATGCATTGGAAACATTGGAATTTTTATAGCAAAAGATAAAAAAAAAGCTAACCATAAAATATTTTGATAATTAGCAGAAATAGGATAAATAGATAAAATATGATAATCACTAGTACCAATTTCAATATAAATCTAAATTATACTTAATAATAAAAATAAAGAACCAATAAGTGTATACATAAAAAATTGATAGGCTGCATGAATTTTTCTATTTCTACTACCCCAAAAAGCAATTAAAAAGAACATTGGAATTAAAACACTTTCAAAGTTAATATAGAATAATAATAAATCTAAAACAATGAAAACAGCTAAAGATAAAATTTGAATAATTAATAAATAAATAACAAAAGATTTACTTAAAACTATATCTATTTTCCAGCAACTTAATAAAACAATTGGTGTTAACATGTTAACTAACCAAATTAACCAAAGACTAATTCCATCAATTCCAAAAATTCCAAAAGATTGAAATTGAAAAGAAATAGAATTGGGAACAAAAAAATAAAATAAAAATAAAGTATGAATTAAATTTAATAAAGAAAAAAATAAAGCTGTTTTATATACTTCTTTTTCTACAGATTTAAAAGTAATCATAATTATTGATATTATTGGATATATTAATGTTAGATATAACATAAACTTAAAAATGGATTTTACATCTTGTATTTTTTTGTTATATAATACAAAGATGTTTATATTCTAAAAAAAAAATTATTTTTTGTTTTTGGTCGGTTCAAGAACCGACCGGTAGATTTTATATCAACCACATTGGCGAACTGCCATATATATTTTTATAATTAGAATGAAATTAGTATTTAGATTCAGCGCAAAAGCGCGTAATCCGCTCTACGAGCCGATTCTACTAATTAATAAAGAATTATTAAATTTTTTTTTTACTGACTTTCAACTTGTAAAAAATCAGTTGAACTTATATTTAATTCTTTTTTACTATTTATCTTTTTATCCATATTTAGCCTTATGTTTTATTAATAAAAAACTATAAAGTAGTATCATCCTTAATGTAATATTGAAAACCAAATAAAAGTTTGCTATAAATAAGAAAGAACGTAAAAGTAAAAGATTTTCAACAGCGTCAGCATATCAACAAAAAAGTCTTTATTGCTACATTTTCTTCTTTAAACTATAAAAACATGTTTAATTTATTTGCTGCGTTTTTGACATTCATGGATACATCTCAAAATTAACCGCCCGATTCTTGAACCGGGGCAATATTTTTTTTTATACAACTACAGGAAAATCTCATTAATCCCGAGTCTCTTATAATAAGAGACTCGAGGTGTAAAAAAAAAATTATTTTTTTTTACACATTGGTGGTCGATCATATAATCGAGTGGGCCACTTTATGTGGCCCAAAATAAATTAAAACAAAAGATAAATATAAATTTTTCTTCTTAGCTACCCCACCAATAATAAACAAAAAATACAAATAACCAAACAACATCGACAAGATGCCAATAAAATATAGCGAATTCTAATCCTAAATGATGTTCAGTTGTAAAAGAATCAAAATACATTCTGAAAAGGGATACAGTTAAAAAGGAAACTCCTGCAATAACATGAAGAGCATGAAGTCCTGTTGTCATATAAAAGACAGTACCAAAAACAGAATCAGCAATTGTAAATTCTCCCATATAGTATTCATTAGCTTGTAAAAAGATGAAAAAAAATCCTAATAAAACAGTAATTACCATACTTATTATAGCTAAATCTTTATTACCTAATATCATAGCATGATGACTTAATGTTAATACAAAACCAGAAGCTAATAAAACACAACTTCCTAATAAAGGAATAGCCCAAGGATTAACAGCATTAATTCCTTTAGGAGGCCAAACAGATCCAATATCAACAGCTGGTGCAAGACTAGAATGAAAGAAAGCCCAGAAAAAACTGAAAAATAACATAATTTCAGAGATTAAAAATAATAAAAATCCAATTGTAATACCTTTTTGTACTACTATAGTATGATATCCTCCAGCACTTTCACGAAGAACATCTTTCCACCATAAGAAAGCAATTAAACCTATAATTAAAAAATGTGGAATTAAATTAGCATGTAAATTGGTAATCCAAGTTACAAATCCAATAGCAAAAGACTATAAACTAAAAGCCATTAATAATGGCCATGGTGAAGCTTCTACTAAATGATAAGGATGAAATGCACGAGGGATAATCTTCATAAAAAAAAATTTGTATATTGCCTAAGAATTGAAATATAAAATAACATAATTTATTATATGAAATTTTATATCGATAGTACAATATGTACAGTACTACTTCTTACAATATAAATCAAAGTAAATTTACTCTATTTCATCTATAAGGTTTGATTTATAATCAAACACTTGATTATTTGGAGGATCAAATAGATAAAGATTTAAATTTTTTTTATAAAAAGTTAAAGTTTTTATTGTCGATATAAAATCGACCGATCGGTTATTGGACCGATCGCAAAAACTATAATTTATTTATAAAAGTTCTATAATAAGACACTTCGATATAAAAAAGATCAATTTAATTTACTCCTGACAGGATTTGAACCTGTATGCGATTTGCGATGGATTTAGAATCCATTGAGTCTGCCATTCCTCCACAGGAGTATTTTTTAATAAAACTTGTTGATTCATCATCCGTCGAAAAACGTTCGAGTATCAATTTAAAATTAGCTCCATTTTTAATTAGATCGGCGGACCGATAATTTAGAGAATTAAAGATTTATAGAGTTCGCATCACCAATAAAGTGCGTCATTTTTATGTATACACTTTCATATACCCCTTTGAAGAAGATGGTGATGAGAAGGTGTCGGAAGTTTTAAAAAGATAAAAAACTTATCCAATTATGTCCCAACGACCACGTAAAGCTATAGCAGTTTTAGTGTTAGTAGTAGAAAAAGTTTGAATAATAACATATAAGAAAACTATAACAGAGAATAAAGTTAAGAAACTACCTAAAGTAATAAATTGATTCCAACTAGCATAACCATCAGCATAATCTGGAATTCTACGAGGCATTCCAGCTAATCCTAACATATGCATTGGGAAGAATACAAGGTTAATAGCAATAGTAAATAAAATAAAATGAATACGACCTAAAACTTCATTATATTGATAACCTGTAATTTTTCCAATCCAATAATAGAATCCAGCAAAAATAGCGTATACTGCACCCATAGATAAAACATAATGGAAATGTGCAACAACATAATAAGTATCATGTAAAGAAATATCAATAGAAGCATTTGCAAGAATTACACCTGTAAATCCACCAAGAGTAAATAAAATTACAAAACCTAAAGCGAATAACATAGGGGTATAATATTGAATGTGACCACCATATAAAGTAGCTAACCAACTAAATACTTTAATACCTGTAGGTAAAGCAATAATCATAGTAGCTGCTGTAAAGTAAGCTCTAGTATCTACATCTAATCCTACACTATACATATGATGACTCCATACTAAGAAACCTAATAAACCAATAGATAACATAGCATAAACCATACCAATATAACCGAATACTGGTTTATTACTAAAACGACTAATTAAATGACTAATAATACCAAAACCTGGTAAAATTAAAATATAAACTTCTGGGTGACCAAAGAACCAGAAAAGATGTTGATATAAAATAGGGTCCCCTCCTCCATTAGCATCATAAAAACTTGTATTTAAATTTCTATCTGTTAATAACATTGTAATAGCACCAGCTAATACAGGTAAAGATAATAATAATAACCAAGCTGTAATGAAAACAGCCCAAACGAATAATGGAAGACGTTCCATACTCATACCTGGAGCTCTCATATTAATAACAGTTGTAATAATATTAATAGCACCCATCTAAGAAGAAAAACCTGCAATATGTAAACTTAAAATTGATAAATCTACAGCAGCTCCTAAATGATAAGGAGTATCTGATAATGGTGGATAAACTGTCCATCCAGTACCTGCTCCTCCAGCAAAAAGACCAGCAGTCTATAAAATTAAAGAAGGTGGTAATAACCAAAAACTTATATTGTTTAATCTTGGAAAAGCCATATCTGCAGCACCTATCATAACAGGTACAAGCCAATTACCAAAACCTCCAATTAAAGCAGGCATAACCATAAAGAAAATCATGACTAAACCATGAGCAGTAATAACAACATTATATTGATCATGACTACCCATTAAATATACTTGTCCTCCACTACTTAATTCCATACGAATTATAAAAGATAATGCAGTACCTACTAATCCTGAAATAGCTGCAAATATTATATATAACATACCTATATCTTTAGCATTAGTACTATATAACCATCTATTTACAAAATACATGAAATAAAAAATATTCTTTTAATTAATAAGCTTTATTTTTTTGCTCGTCCCTGCGGTCCAAAAACCGCCTGAAACGACCGGTCGATTTTATGTCGACCGCTCGTCCAAGAATCGAGCGGCTCATTTTTTGATGAACCCCATTAAAAGCGAAAATGTATATACTTTTTTAATAAATAAAACATTCGAATTTATTTTCTAAAATAGAAAATTTTCTCATAATTATTTATTATAAAGGTCGGTCCAAGAACCGACCGGTTCATTCTAGGATGAACCAATTTTAATTAAAATTTGATTGGTTTAAATTTTAAATTTCTTAATCTTTTATCCCTTATTGCATTTAAACCCTTTTCCAATCATTAATTAAAAACGAGTTATCCAATCTTTTGTCACCTTTGCATCACCACCCCCCCCCCCTTGAAGAGGGGTAGATGGAGACGTGTAATAAAAGATGATGCACCTTATGAGTGGAGCTAACAAAAAGGGTAGAATTTTAAATCCTGATAAATCATCTCTGAGGTAAAAAAGAAAAAACAGAGGGAGGATTTAAAAATAAAAGATATTTAAGTTTTCACCCGTTTTTTTTTTTTTTTTCTTTTTTTTTTTGGTTTGGAATTTATTATATCTTTAAGCAACCTTTCGGTGACTTTTTTTTATATAGCCCAAATGTCTATTTTTTAGACATTTGGGTTGAATCCGAGGTTTAATCTAAAACCTAATCAAGCTTTTAAACTAGACTGCAGTTATATTAATAACTTGGCTGTAGATGCAAAAATATATCCACCTAGTGGATCCATTCCCCCTCGGGAAATATAAGAAAATTATTTATTCTTATATTAATTCAATCTTTAATTAGAAAGCATATAAGAAAATTAAAGCCATCATTAAAGCGAATAAACCCATAGCTTCAGTTAAAGCGAATCCTAAAATAGCAGTATTGAAAAGTTCACGTCTTAAAGAAGGGTTACGAGAAGTACCTTGAATTAAACTACCAAAAATAAGTCCAATTCCAATAGCAGCACCAGCAAGAGCAATAGTGGCTAATCCAGCACCAATTAATTTAGCGGCCATTAACATAAAATAATAGTAATTTTTTAATATTCCCAATATACATACATAGACCTTCAACTTAATATAAGATTTAATTCTATTCGAGCTAAAGCTCAAACGCTTGATTAAAACTCAAGCTTTTAATATTTAAGGTTCATTTAATAATGAACCGCTCGATTCTGTGATCGACCCTAAATATCATTTTTTTATTATTTTAAGCAAAGGATTCGATTTAAAATTATCATCAACAGCAACAAACAAAATTTGATAAGTAACCGAGCAAGGCTCGGCTAATTATATTTAAAATTAATTAGATGTCTTTTTTCACAAAACTGTATTTATAAATTTTCAAATTAATTAATCCCAAATACTTAAATTTATATATTGAGATTATAAAAATGAATATTTAATTATTAAGAAGCGGAACGTAAGAAATTTAAATAAGAAGGTAAATCAACACCATGTAAACCAATAGGCATAAATCCATGTAAAACACCGCATAATTCACTACATTGACCATAAAAAGTAGAAGGACGAGTTATTAAAATTCCTGTTGAATTTAATCTACCTGGAATAGCGTCCTATTTTAAAGCCTAAGAAGGAATAGCAAAACTATGAATAACATCATTAGAAGTAACTAATAAACGAATACTAGTATTAATAGGTAAAACCTAATAATTATCAACAGTTAATTGACGTAAATCACCTTCTTCTAAACTATCTTCACTAACCATAAAACTATCAAAAGTTATAGATTTATCTAAAGAATCAACATAATCAGTATATTCATAAGACCAATACCATTGATTACCAATAGCTTTAACTGTAATTTCAGCATCTAAAATTTCATCAATCATATATAATAATTTTAAACTTGGTAAACCAATAGCCCATAAAATTCCAGCTGGTGTTAAAGTCCAAATTAATTCAATAAGATTACCATGATGGAAATTCATTGGATTAGTATTTAAAGTAGCACTAACTAGAAACCAAACAACAACAATTAAAAGAATAATTAAATAAAACATAATACGATCATGTAAATCAATTATTGCATACATCCAAGGACTAGCTGGATCTTGAAAACTTATAGCCCATTTTTCAGCAAAATCAGCATATAAAGTTGATTTTGTTAAAAAAGCAATTAAATCTAAATAAAAATTTTGAATCATAAAATAAAAATAAGGTTGTTATTTGAAGTTTAAAAATTTAAAGTTTTAATACGAATTATTTCGCTAATATTATGGTCGATCCAAGAACCGACCAATAAATTATTTTTTATTCTTATTATTTAAACTTACTCAAATAAATCACCCACAAATTGTGGGGAATAAATAAAAATTTTTATTAATTTCGAATCAATAAAAAGTTTTTATTTATTTTTTAAGACGTACACGGAATTTGTAGGTCTACGTAAAGTAAACCGTTTAATTCTCGTATCAAGCACGTTATAGAAATATATATTTTTTTTAAGTCTTTCATTCTCCAGCCACCTTCTCATCACCCCCTAGGGGGTAGATGGAAGCGTGGGCGGAAGAATGGCGCACCTTCTGGGAGGTGCGAAACCTAAGATTTTATCATTTAAATGAGGATGTATAACTTTAAAATCAAATTTTATATTATTGCCCAAAGGGCAGCTCACTTAACGTAAGCGGATATTTGTAAACACATATATAGTCTTTTATTACCTATTACCCGATTATGGAATCGGGCGGTCGACTTTATCTCAACCATTCTTTAAGCAGTTATATCTAAAGCACCCATTAACCATTCATAAATAAAACCAACTGTTAAAATAGTAATAAAAATAAAAATCATTGAAAACCCAATAAAAGAATGAAAATTGAAAATAATAGCAGCTAAAGGAACTAAAAAAATTATTTCAAGATCAAAAATTAAAAATAAAATACCTATTACATAATATAAAATTTCAAATTTAATACGAGCATCACCCATTGGTTCTAATCCACATTCATAAGCTGATAATTTTTCCATAGTACGATTGGTAGAACTAACCCAAAAACTAACTAAGTATAAAACACTAACAAGTAATAATAAAATTAAACTTATAGAAAGAAAACCCATCATAAAATTAAAAATTTTTTTTTCAATAATTCAATATAAATCATTTTGCAACTTAATACCTATAAATTATTTATCTTTTTTTTTTTTTGCATGTTCCGCAAAGCGTCGGACTCATTTGCCATAGCTATAAAACCTGTGACAGGGCATAATTACAATAAGGATAGGAATTTATCTATTAAGCAAATCTAACTGAACCTCTTTTTGGATAGTAAGCAATTAAAATACCTAAAGCTAAAGCTGATTCAGCACCGGCTAATGGTAAAATATATAAAGTTAAAGTCGCACCAATTAGATCGTCCATATTAAAAGATAAATGTAATAATAAAATTCCAATAGAAAGCTATATTAATTCTAAAGAAATTATAACCATTATAAAATTTTTACCACCATTAAAAATATAAGCTAAAATTGCAGTTATAAATAAAGAAATTGCTAAATTTGAACCTAAACCTGACATAATAAAAATTATAATTCTAAAATTCGATTAAGTCTCAATGACTGCAGTAATATTAGTATGTTTAACATTTCAATTAGGCCCTCTCATTTTTATAGACTCACTGAAGAGTCTTTTATGCTCAATTAAAAAATCAAGCGGTCTACGTAATGTAGACCTCTCAATCGTGAATCAATTAAGGATAAGGGCGGATCCGTTTTAATGGATTAAAAAAAAATGAATTATACCAAACTTTAACATAACACTTATAGCTTCAACACTCTAAAATTAAAAATAATGCAAAGAATAAGAAAGTAAAATATTTTAAATTAGTGCGCACCTTCAGCGCGTAGCGTGTATGGTGCGCCATTTTTCCGTCCATGTTTCCATCGTCCCTACCTAGCAGGGGATGATAAAGTGGCTGAAGAATGCCTAATGACGCTAAATTTCATTGCGTAATAAAATCCAGGGCTGCAATGCAGATGGAGCAACTAATTAATAATTTTCTAATGTATTTGCCATAGTAATTTTAATAACACCTATTAATACACTCCAAAGTAAAATGGCTAAAAAAACTAAAGCTGTTGGATAAGCTAAATATATCATATTTGCTAAAGTTTCAATATCTGTAAAATTTTTATATAATTCAAACCAAGAAGAATAATAATAAATAGCAAAAGAATTAGATGTATTAATAAAAAATAAACTAGATATTAATAATATCTATAATAAAGGAAACCATAAATTTGAAAAATTAAATAAACTTAAATTTTCTTTAAATACATTTATTTTATTAACATTAGTTTCAAAAATAGTTGTAGAACTATTCATTAAATTATTTTTATCTAAAGGTAATTGAATATTTGTTTCAGCTACATTTTGAATTTGTACCATCATAATTACAAATAAAAATAGAATTGCTATTGCACCTACATATACAATAATATATGTTAATCCTATAAAAAGAAAATCTAATAACTAAAATATAAAAGAACCCTAAACAAAAACTATAATTAACCAAACCATACGATGAATAGGATTTAAAGCACTAAGTACAACTAAATTACTAATTAAAATAGCAAATACTAAAAAATTATAATTATAACAAATGAAAGACATAAAAGAATCTTTTTTCATTCATAAATTCAAAATTAAGTTTAACTAACTAATTACATACAATATTTATCTTTTTTTTTCGGGTCGGAAGGAATCGAACCTTCGTCACTAATTCCCAAAACTAGTACTCTACCATTGAGCTACGCCCCTACATTCAATTTTTTGGGGATGGTAGGAATCGAACCCACTTCGAGTATAAAACTCCCACATTTACAGTGTGTTCCTTAACCATTCAGGCACATCCCTTCTTTTTTTTTTGCAAATATTGGTCGACATAAAGTCGACCGCCCGATTCTTGAATCGGACACTTAGACTTTATTTTGAATACACCTGGACCTTTAGGGTTTAAATGTAAAGATAAATTCATTTAATATTTTAATAATTTCGGCCTTTCAGGCTGAAACCGCGTATTGCGCTGTTTATTTTAGTTTTTTGAGCAGCCCAAGCATTTAATATAAGAACGATCTAGTCCTTTAGAATTTATTTGATTAACATTCAAGTACTTTTATATTTAAGATATTTGAACACAGATAAAAATGAATAATAAAATTAAATAGAAAGGAATAGTAATTAGTTGTAAAATGCTTACGAAACTAATTAAAACTGAAAATAAAATTATAAAAGCATAATGAGGTAAATAACCAGTAGCTAATAATTCTAATCTAAATCCAATATAATGAATAAAACTAATTAAACCTGTAGGACCAATTAATTCAATTAATCCACGATCAATATGTCTATGTAAAATAACACCTAAATTTAAAGTATTATTAATAATCCAATGATTATAAATATTAAAATGATTTAAAATACCACTATATAAACTTAAAGTATGATAACTACTTGAATTTTCATTAATAGATAAAATTTGACTTGGTTGTAAAACAAGACTTTTTCCAGCTAATTCTGATGAATTACTTGAATAAGAAGTATTAAAACTTAAGGGTAATAAAGTTATCTAAGTTAATAAAGTTAAAGGAGGTAAAAGTTTCCAAATGGAACCAGGGGTTAAAGTACCATCTAAAAGAATTAAATGATCTGGATGAATAAATATTGATTGTCCATAAAAATAACTACCAACACCCATAAATAATTCATTAGTTAAATAACCAAAGAAAACAGCTGCTACAGATGCTATAAATAATGAAATAAAACTACTTATAACAGGATCTGAAATAACAGGTAAAACTGTGGAAGGAAAATGAGGTTCAGATAAAAAAGTTAAAATCATTAAACGTGCTGAATATGTTCCTGTTAATAAAGCAGCTACTAAAGCTAAAATACAAGCCATAGTATTAGTAGTATTATGAGGAATAAGAGCCATTTCAAGAATAAAATCTTTAGAATAAAAACCGGTTAAAAAAGGTAAAGCCATTAAAGATAAACTTCCAATTAAAATAAAAGCATAAGTTTTAGGTAAAAATAAAACTAAACTACCCATACGACGCATATCTTGTTGATCCATTAAAGCATGTAAAACTGCACCAGCAGATAAAAATAATAAAGCTTTAAAAAAAGCATGATTTATTAAATGAAATAAACCTAAATTAAATTGAGATAAACCACAAGCTACAACCATATAACCTAATTGACTAGTTGTTGAATATGCAATTACACGTTTAATATCATTTTCTAATAAACCTGCTGCTGCACCTAATAAAGCACTTAATCCACCTAACCAAGCAACTAATTGTAAACTAGTTGAAGACCATTCCTATAAAGGACTAAAACGCATTAAAAGATAAACACCGGCAGTTACCATTGTTGCAGCATGAATTAATGCTGAAACAGGAGTTGGTCCTTCCATGGCACTAGCTAACCAACTATGTAATCCTAATTGTGCGGATTTAGCAGAGGCACCTATTAATAATAATATAGCTAAAATTAAAATTAAATTAGTATTTAAATAAGAAGCTAATGAGAAAATTGTTGCAAAGGATAAATCAGCTGTTAATGCTATTGTTAATAATAATCCTAAACTTAAAGCCCAATCACCTACACGATTCATTAAAAAAGCTTTTAAAGCTGCCATATTAGCAGCAATACGAGTAAACCAAAAATTAATTAAAAGATATGATGCTAGACCAACACCTTCCCATCCTAAAAATAAAACTAATAAATTTTCACCTGTAATCTATATTAACATGAAAAATGAAAATAAACTTAAATAAGAAAAAAAACGAGATAAATGTGGATCTCCATCCATATAACCTAATGAATATATTTGAACTAAAGAAGAAATATATAAAACAGGAATAAACATAGAAACTGTCTAAGAATCAAATAATAAAGCCCATTCAATATTTAAATAATTTGATTTAATCCAATATCCTAATTTCTATGAAACTGTTGAACCATTTAAACCTACTTCCCAAAAAGCTATAGTAGCTAATAAAGTAGTTGTTAGAATACAAATTATACTTAAAATTGGGCCTCCAATTGAACCATTTTTTCTATTTGTTGCTAATAAACTACCACAAAGAGGTAATAATAATATAGATAAATACATATATTTAGAAAATTAATATTATTAAATTCACACCCCCCTTAAAAAGATGCGCCATTTTTATCTAGACTTTTTCATCTCCCTTTAAAGGATTATGATAAGGTGACTAGATAATGGAAATTAGTATTTTATTCTAATTTTTTATTTAATTATTCTCCTAATTTAAATAAAAGAAATTTGACATTTTTCCGTTATATCGGTTTAAGCCGTTAACGATCACAACAAAATTAATAAAAAATTTTTTTTATCTTATGTTAAAAACCATGGATATTTCGAATTAAAATTTTCCATCTCTTCCAAAAAAATAATTAGTATTTGTACAAATTTAAAATAACTTAATATTCCATTAATTTTGTTTTTTTTTTTCTTAGTAATTCTAAGTTTTTTTCACTTTTAATTTTTATTTGTTTGATTACCCAAGCATGCTTGGCTAATTACAAAATTCCTATATTTTTACAAATAGATACATATTAAAGTATAAAATTTTTTTTAGCTTATTCACCCATGGTGACGAAATCGCTGAAAATAGCTCTAAATTTAATCTACAAGGATCTCTCATTGATTAATTACAAATTATAGCTAATATTTATTTTTTTATTAGTTATAGAACCAACCGGTTAATTATATGATTAACGAATCTACTTAAAGATTTATTTTTATTATAAATCCTTTATTTTGGTCGGTCCAAAAACCGACCGATCGACTTTATGTCGACCAATATAATAAAAATTTAATTCACTTGTCAGTTATTTTATAAAGTAATTGATTTAATTTTTTATTTTCTTGTTCTCTCCCTAAAGAGAGGGTTTACTTTAATATTTATAACTTATTTTAGGGAATGACTAGAATCGAACTAATATTTTTGAGTTTGGAGCTCAAGATTTTACCATTAAATTACATTCGCCCCCATAAATACAAAACTAAAAAATTTTTTTTATCGACTCGTAGGACAAATTTAACGCTTTGCGTTAAATGTTTTTTTATAAGATATTTAGGGTTTTATATTAAAAAATATCTAGAAATCTTAAATTTAAGATTCTTGGATACTTATTTGATATATTATTATGACCGGAAAGGAGTTGAACCTTTACTATCAAATTATGAGCTTGATATGCTACCCTTACATTACCGGTATATATTTTGAGATCCCTCTAAGAGGGATTCTCAGGAAAATAAACAAAGTCTATTTTTTGAGATCCAAAAGCTTAATATAAAAACGAAATAGTATTTTAGACTAATTAGCTTTTAAATGTAAATTTGGACTCATCTAATTGACTAAGTTGTTCTTAATAAATTTTGACCTTTGAAAGGTTATGGTCGGTTCAAGAACCAACCGGTCGATTTTATATCGACCACATTTAAAAGAAAAAACAATAATTAACACAGGGTGTTAATTTGATTTAAAATTTTCAATGCTAGATTCGAGAATCTAGCGTTCTATTTTACATAGAACATTAGAAAAAATTTGATAAATTTTATGTATCAATATTTAAATTAGTAGTCTACTAATTTTTATTTAAAATAAAAAATAAAACTTAATTTCTTCCTTAGATGAATTCAGGAATTCATTATTATGAACATAACTAAATTATTATATTTTAATCATTGGTTCAACCCACTCAGTCCTCTCGTACTAGAGCTAGTAATTTCTTTTTTTATTCCTCAGTAGATAGAATCCTACCTGCGTCACCGCGGTATAAACCCAACTCACGTTACCTTTTATGCGAAGAACAGTCGCACCCTTAGGACCGCTTACAGCCCTAGGATAGGTAGAGTCGACATCGAGGTGCCGATCCTTCAAATCCGTAGATACCGAATTTTAAGACTAGCCTGTTATCCCTAGAGTAGCTTGAATTCCTTAAGCGCTAAAAAAATTAGCGGATCACTACGACAAACAAGAAAAATGAGATATTTTTATTATTAAAAAAAGAATTGTAATTCTTTTTTTTAAGCATGTTTAATCCGTTAAATGATTTCATGCCATTGTTGACACTCCGTTACTATTTTGGAGGTCGCCGCCCCAGCGAAACTGACTAAGAAAAATAAATTTGATTTTTCAAATCAGTAAAGCTTCATAGGGTCTTCTCGTCTTGCTGAGGATTTTTCGCATCTGCACGAAAAATGTAACTTCACGGAGTCTATTTAGGAGACAGTCGGAGCGTCGTTTCACCATTCATGCGGGACTACAATTAATAGCCGAGGAATTTCGCTACCTTAGAACCGTCAGAGTTACAGCTGCCGTTTACTAGAGTTTTGGATTTAAATCATTAAATCTTTTGGTTGCTAGCACCGGGCAGGTACCGGCCTTAATACATCCTATTAAAGTTTGCTAAGACCTATGTTCAAAGTCACAGTCGCACTCCTAATTTGCCGAGTTCCTTCTAAATAGTTCTCTCCAAATCATATTAAATCCACCAGAGTCGGTTATAAGTACGGTAATTTAAATAATTTCCTGATAAAATCATTATTCATCGAAATTTAAATCTTAGAAACCGGATTACTCAATATTTTAAAAAATATTACTTGAAAACCTTGGATTTACGATCAAAGAGATCTTTTTCATGTTCATATGAACATTTTCTCTTTTTTTACGTTACTCATGTCAGCATTCTCAAAAAAAAGTTTATAACTTTTTTAATGCTAGTACTAAGGAAATTTTCTTTCCTTCTATGGTTAAAGTAGAAAGTTTTTGATTCGTACATTTACAATATAAAATTTATAATTCTTTTTTGCTGTTACGTATTAAAATAAGGATGGCCGCTACCAAGCCCACCTAAAAGAATCTTAAATATAAATTTAATTATATTTACTCGGAGAGCGGTCGACTTTACGTCGACCACTCAAATGAGTAATCGAATTTTACATTTTATATTCACTAAACTTTCATTTTGAAACTGTTTCCTATAGATAGAGTTGTTTCTCTCTCGAATATGAATCTTATCACTCATTTTCTGACTTATTATATACACTTTTAGGAAGATCTTTCTAGATCAGGATTATACCGGTACTGTACATCAATCAGTGTATTTTAATATGAATAAATCCATATCAAATGAAAATTTCTTTTCATATATATAATAAAACTACTAAAATAGTTTTCCTAGCAAACCAGCTATCTCTAATCTCGATAGGAATTTCACCTCTAGTCATTACTCATCTTAGATTATTGCAACAATCACAAGTTCGGTCTATTTACCCTGGTAATGACTGGTTCGATTAGTTTCGGGTCTAATAATATAAACTTAAATATTTTCATAAAGCTTTATACTTGTTTATAATTATTAACTTGCTGACCCATGATGCAAAAGGTATCCAATAAAAATCTTAAATTTCTTTTGGGACAAAATTATCTGTTTAATTTTCAATTTTCAAATATTTTGAATTAATCTTTCCTTCTCAGTACTATTCACTATCACTATTTAATTTTTCTTTTTTTTTTATTTCATTAATTTAATTTCATGAAATAAATTATGCGTTTGAAACACATTTTTAATCGTTAAACAATTTTTTTTTTATTTTCTTTTCATTCGTCATTACTAAGAAAGTTTTTTTATTTATTACTTAGATATATCAGTTCATAAATTGATCTTATATGTTTTCACATTTGGAAATAGCTTTGCTTTTTTTAGATTATACTTCCAATAATTAAATAGATTAGACATCCACAAATAATTTTTTGTTGTTTTTTCTTTCTTTCATTTTTTTCTTTAACTGGTCGACATTAAGTCGACCGCCCGATTCTTAGATCAGGCAAAATACTCAAATATTTTAAATATTCACGCAGCTAGGCTGCGTTTGTTTTTTGTTTTTAATAACTTTTTATTTATATTATGTTTACACCACACCTTCCAGTACGGTGACCTTGTTACGACTTAAACATTCTTGATATACATGAGAACAAAATAAAATTTTCAAAGAATTAACGCTATTAACGTTAGTTATCCAGTCCGTAGACGGGCTTTATAACTGAGAATTTTTTATTTTTTTTGATTCTTTATATATCTAGATTGCCTTGACGGGCGGTTAGTACAATCTTGATTTAATTATTCACCGTATCTTGCTATTACACGATTACTAGCCATTCCAGCTTCATTTTAACGAGTTTCAGTTAAAAATCAGTACTAATTCTAATTTTATTTTTGGATTAGAAATTGTGGCATGTGTGTAGCCCTTTTCATTGGGCCATGCGTACTTGAAGTAAAACCTTATATAAGGTGAATTGCTTTTTAAAAATTACTTCAAAAGCTAATCAACAGCCATGCAACACCATTTAAAAGAAAAGGTAAGATTTATGGGGGGTCATCCAATTAAACCACATGCTTCACGGCTTATCTCAAGACCCGTCTATTCCATTGGGTTTCAATGTTGCCATCCTACTATCCAGGCGGAATGATATTTATAATTTTCTTTTCATTCAGTATTTAGGGTATGGATTAAAAGGGTCTCTAATCCTCGTTACTGCCCATACTTTAGTATATAAATGTCAGTAATAAATAGTAATATGCTGTCGCCTTTGTTGTTCCTAT